TGTGACTTAAAGTCTAGAAGAACATGCTGGGTCAGTTTGCTTTGGTCTTTCATATTGGGTCCTAATTGTTGAGTGGCATTTTTAATTTGGCCCCAACCCTGCTTTTTGCTGGTTTATTGGGAAATGGAATCTCAGACTTTGCCGCTCAGGGCGGCTTTTAAATCACAATCCTTCAGGTCTCATCTTCCTGAGTAGCTACGATTTTAGGCATGAGGCATCGGTGTCCGGCTAATATTCATTCTGCTGTCTCCTTTATCATAACTCTTACAACACCATCTCAGAAATGTCTCTTGCAGGTTGGCATTCTAATAGTACTGTGCTTGGTGGGTGGCTGTATATTGTTACATTGTTATTATGAAAGGATAAAATTCATTTTTAATTTTAAGGCAGCTTGATTTTTTTCTTTTCTTTTATTGTGAAAATACTGTACAGAGGGGTTACAATTACATGGGCAAGATGAGTGCATTTCTTATCAAGCATTGTAGCCTCCTCCTTTGTTTCCCCTTCCCTAATTTTTTAAAGGGGGAAAAAGAACCCCAAACATTGTCAAAATGGCATTCCCCTTAAATACTGGGGAAGGGACATGGAATCACAATGTGATACAGCACGGGTTCCAAACATCTCTTCTCCTTTAGTTGCTTCTTTACAAGGTAATATTCTCTGTTCAATACAAAAATTAAGTGACTCTCAAGTTTTACTTTAGGGTTTCATTTCTTTGTGATGGATCCTTTGGCCATGGGAAATTAGTATTAAATCTATGTGCATGCTTTCTCCTAAAAAATTAGATTCTTGTCTAGAAAATGACTCTTGTCTTGTCCATCAACTGGGTGGTGCACCATTCTGTAAATATAATTAACATAACTAAGACTTCCTTCTCTTTTTCTGTGCACTGGCATTTCTAGCCCAGAGTCCTGGTACTCCCTCACTGAGCAGGTTCTCCCTCTTGGCCCTCTGTTTGGGCCTCAGGTGGACCACACTCCTCTGAGCCGCCTTGTGGATACAGGCTTCTGTATGTCACAGATTTGGCCTTTCTCTAATTCTTTATTGTGTGTGTGCTGGTCCTGGGGCTTGAACTCAGGGTCTAGGTACTGTCCCACTTTGAGTGACAGCTCCACTTCTGGTTTTTGAGTGGTTAATTGGAGATAAGAGTCTCACAGAGACTTTTAGCTTGGCTGGCTCTGAACTGGGCTCCTCTGATTCCAGCCTCCTGAATAGCTAGGATGACAAGCATGAGCCACCGGCCTTTCTCTAATTCTTTGGTCCTCTCTATACTACTTACCTTCCTTTCTGTTTCCTCATGTCTGCCATCTATAAAACTGCTTGAGGGAAAGACTAGGTCTTTGAGTTAGGGTCTAACCATAGTGTAGACTGGCATTACAGGAGTGTGTCGGGATGCCTGGTAGATCTATGGGTTGTTTCTAGTACCTCCGGTACATGGACCTAAGAGATTGTTTCCTAGCAGGTTCTACAGAACTCATATGCATATCTCAGAAATAATATTGGCATGGCTAGGTAAGGTGCTCACGTTAGCAAATTTCAGAGCTGGAATTGCACCCTAGGTGGCCTGGCTGTGGAGTCAGTGGATAGGTGCAGCACTGGGTTTTTTCTCCACAGGTAGCAAAGGAGAAGAGCAAGAGGGTGATTTGGGGAGGAACCAGAAACAAGACAAAGAGCCTCCAAAATGTCTGCCATTTTTCAATGTTTACCTGAGCCAACATGTGGGCAAATGGATGAATTAGTTCACTGAACAGGCTCTCTAGTGTTTGTGGTTTCAGGTTAGTAGTAAAAATGCAATTTAAAAATGTACTCCCAGGGCTAGGAAGGTGGCTCAGTGGTAGAGCGCTTGCCTTGCATGCATGAGGCCCTGGGTTTGATTCCTCAGCACCACATAAGCAGAAAAAGCCAGAAGTGGTGCTGTGGCTCAAGTGGTAGAGCGCTAGCCTTGAACTGAAGAGCTAAGGGACAGCACCCAGGCCCCACAACTGACCAAAAGAAAGGTACTCCCAAACTGATTAGCTCAAAAAATGGCAGTCATCTCTTTTTCTCTCATTAGATAACTATTGGCTTTATCTAGTTAGAATTACAGTGGCTAGTCAGATGTTAAACTATCAAATATACACGATTGACAGTTGGTTGTGATATAAATAGAATCAGTGGTAGAAGTTTCTTCATTCTAGAAATCAAGATGTTAGCTAAAGCAGGGGAGCTATTAATGTGGAACAATATGCAAAAGTAACAACAATGTGCAAGTCCTAGGCTGGGCATAGTCTCAATCTGAATAAGATCATTTTAATTGTGTAAAAGCCTTCATTATTGAGTGTCGACTGAGCAGGAGAAAAAAACCACTTTGGTTTTTGACCTGGAAAGGAATCTAGAAAAAGACGTATAACTGCCATCTGCTTTCTCCTTTAATTTTTTCATGAACATCGAGAGCATGAGTGCACTCTGGAGGCCTATGTGAATAGAGAAGTACTGAGGCTGTGGAAGCCCTTGAAAGTCACCCACCCATCCACCAGATACACACGTGTTCTTCCTATGTGCCATGGAACCACTTATAGCCTGACTGTCAGACTCAGCTGATGAGTTTCTTGGGGAAAATGAAGGTGCAGATAGTAAAACTGGGACCCCCATCCTTTAAGAAGACACCTGGTGATAGGTCAGGCACGAAAGACCATCAGATTTGTAGGTACTGATGTGTATGTGCCTTCACTGACAAGGATGGCTCTGCCATTTCTAGCAGTTTTCTGGTGAATTGTTACTTGGAGATGAGAGTCTCATGGACTTTCCTGTTGGGCTGGCTTTGAACCACAATTCCTACATCTCAGACTTCTGAGTAGCAGGGATTATAGGCGTGAATCATTGGTGCTCATCAATATTTCCTTTAAAAAATATTTTGAGGAAGAGAATATTGAGAAAGGGCTTCTTTTTTTGTGGGGAAGTAAGCTAGAACCTCAAGGCCTCACCTGGAGGTTTAACACCACAGAGATCAATGGTTCAAAATCTCAAACTTAAGTATCAAGCTCCCCTCTGCCACAAGCCAGGTGATTAAAAATAAAATTACACATGCTTGAGGGTAGCCAAAAGCTCAGACTTCAATAGGAAAGGTTCAACAAAAAAACACTGTGTGTGCCCAGTACTGGGGCTTCAACTCTCACTTGGCTTTTTCTCTCAAGGCTGGAGCTCTACCATTTGAGTCACACCTCCACTTCTGGATTTTTGCTCATTAATTGGAGATAAGCCTCTCATGGACTTTTTTGCCCAGGCTAGCACTGAACCTCAATTCTCAGATCTCACACCGTTAACATCAAGAATTAGAGGTGTGAGCTGCCCAGCCACTGGCTAACAGCAACCATTTATATATGCACACACGAGCAAATGTCAAGATGATCAACTTAAATGAAGAAACTGTGATGTTTAAAATGAGTCATAATAAAGGATGAAACAATGACACAAATGTCCCTGAAGTCTCTCCACCATGGCTTGTGTCTGTGGGTGATTTTTGTATTTGATGATAATTGTACTTTCTAGTTTCCCTAAAAGGAACAAAGCTGATCTGTGGACTTTTTTGTTTTTTTTTTGGCCTCTATTTCAAAAAGCCTATAGGGGTAATTTCAGCCTGGCAGCATCCATTACCAACTCCCTGACACTTCCAGTGTATTTGAATCACTTCTTTTCTGTTTATTTTGTGCTGCTTTGTCCGCTAAGCTGCCTGGAGGTCCCTCCCATACAAACACAAAAGGGTTTAAGTGGGCTGGGAAGGTGGCTTAGTGGTAGAGTGCTTGACTTGCATGCATGAGGCCCTGGGTTCAATTCCTCAGCACCACATAAGCAAAAAGAAAAGCCGGAAGTGGCGCTGTGGCTCAGGTGGTAGAGGGCTAGCCTTGAGCTGAAGAGCTGAGGAATAGTGCCCAGGCCCAGAGTTCAGGCCCCACGACTGGACCCAAACAAACAAAAGGGTTTAAGTCATGTTTCCCTATGAGGATAAACATCTTTATTTTCCATCCCTACATTATGAATGGACCACCACTGCCCATGAGATCCAAGTAACCATACAAGTTAACCATACTATTTTAAATGGCCCTTTCCCATTTAGTAGGCCTTTTATTGAGAGTTTCTCATTCTACTCTAGGAAGACTGGGCACTATACCCACTGTATAGATGAAGAAACTGACTGGCTTAAAGATTAAAGGTGCTAAAACAATGAACACCTCTGGCAATGAGATTTTCAAAACAGAGTATCTATATGCCAACCCATTAAAGGGAAAAAAATTCAGAGATAACTTTTTTTTGGCGGTTGTAGGGCCTGAACTCTGTCCATCCCTGAGCATTTCAGCTCAAGGCTAGTGCTCTACCACTTGAGCCACAGCACTATGTCTGGCTTTTTCTGTGTATGTGGTGCTGAGGAATAGAACCCAGGGCCTCATGCATGCAAGTCAAGCACTCTACCATGAGCCACCTTCCCAGCCCCAGAAATAACTCTTTTTAAGGTTGGGCAGGGTGGTTCATGCTGGTAAACAGTTCCTCAAGAGGCCAAGATTGGGAGCATTTACTATTTCACTCCAGCTTGGGCCAGACTCTATCTCAACTAGTAAGCTGTGTGTGGTGCCATGTGCTTGTCATTCTAGCTACAATGGAAGCATAAATAGGATCTCATGTTTTAGCCCAAACCTACCTGAAAAATAACTAAAACAAACAAACAAACAAAAAAAGGCTGGGCATGTGACTCAAGTGGTAGAGTGCTTGCCTAATAGTGAGGCCTGAGTTCAAACTCCAAAGACATTCCTCTGGTCTCCTGTTACTTAGACGGATGGAGTAAAATAGTCTTTATCTGGTAGTTGGCATTCATTGTAACTTAACAGCAGCATGTTTATTCTGGCCTGTCATTCATTTCTCATCACTCCACATTCCAAGGAGTTGAATTTTTAGACGGAGTGGAAATAAAATATAGACACCATGAGGACACATGAATAGAAACAACAACAACAATGAAAAAGGCTTACCTTGCAGCCTTCACATGTAATGACACCATAATGGATTCCTGATGATTTGTCTCCACAGATCTTGCATGGAATAATTTCAATTTGAGCTGTAACAGAAGCATGCAACCAGTTAATTACATTTGCTTTTAAACACCTTATAAAAGCGTTCCCTGATCAGCATTTGTATAGTGAAAACTAATAACCTGCTAAACATTATACTGCATTAACTATTCATTGCTGAACTGTGAGGGTCCCCCCAGAGCCCTGGACTAAATTATGACTGCTCGTTATATAATAGCTTTCGGGTTATTAAAATGGGTCATTTGAGAAGGTGTTTAAGAACCCACCAGAAGACTGGAATCAGCATTTCAAAGCCTTCCAGAACTAGAGAGTTTGCACTTTAGACCTCATAGCATAGCAGATATGAAATTGTGTCCTCCAATCTCATTTTCCATCTTTTTATTTTTTAATTTTTTTGGTGCTAGTCCTGGGGCTTGAACATAGGACCTGGGCACTGTCCCTGAGCTGCTTTTTGCTCAGGGCTAGTGCTCTACCACTTGAGCCACAGCTCCACTTCCTGCTTTTTGTGATTAATTGGAGATTAGAGTCTCTGGGACTTTTCCTGCCTGGGATGGTTTTGAACCGTGATCCTCAGATCACATCCTCCTGAGCAGCGAGGATTATAGCTAGGCATGATCACCTATAGTAGCTGAGCCACTGCAGCTTGACCTGGTTGGAGAAAGACACACTGCAAAAAAATCAGGTCCACTTAGGAAAAATGATCCAGGTCAAAATATTAATGTTATATGTGATGACAGGAATTCCTTACTCATCTTTTTTTAAAAAAAATTATTGTTCTTGCCATGTGTTAAAAATTAGTTCATTTGTGTACAATCAAAGCCTTTCAACCAGAATGTTAATATCCTGGCTAAGTTTAATAATGATAAGCCTTGACAAATCGGATTCTTGGCTTCTGAGTTGTTTATGTTGGAAATTGCATTTCCTGGTGTAGTGTGTGCGCATTTCTCTCCAACTGATTATTTAAAAAGATGTCTCATGCTGGAAAACCAGCCAACCAAATTACAAATTCTCAAATACAGTTCTGAGCACACGTTTATGCCTTGTATAGCCTTAGATATAGCATTATTGAGATCAGAAACAGAATTCATACATGAGATAAAAGCTGGAGGTTGAGTTGTACACGGAATGGCAATGGTGAGTTTATCTGGAACATTCTATTATGCTAAATCTAATACACTATGATTTTTACTAATGGATATACTTAATTCCCTAATTAGTTACAAGAATTACCACAGTTGCAAGTGCCCCAAACTGTTTTTGTTTCTGGTCATGGGGTTTGAACGCTGGGCAGGGGTGCTGTTCCTGTGCTTCCTAGCTCAAGGCTAGTACTCTATCACTTTGAGCCATAGCACCACTTCTGGCTTTTTGGTAGTTCATAGGGGATAAGAATCTTACAGACTTCCCTGCCCCAGCTGGCTTTGAATCGCGATCCTTACATCTCAACCTCCTGAGTAGCATGAGCTGGTAGCTTTTATACAGCTTTGCTTTTATACAGCTTCTACACACCTCAGACCAAGCAATGACTAAGGTCTGGGGGGAATATGTTAGATGTGAACAGACATTCACACAACCCACTTTTCTAATGGAATCCCATATTCCAGGGAAATTTCCATAAGCACTTACTCTGGGTTTGATGCAATGTTTAGAAAGAAGCTTCTGGACTGACTGCTATTACAGTCTAGGGGTCTGCTGATTCCCTCTATAGGACATGTTCTTCTAGAAGGAGGGTAAATTTTCTACCAATACTTTTAGTGCTGGCCTCCTAGATTTCTTTGTCCAGATCTAGAATTTTTTTGTTCAAAAGAATGTGATTTGCAATCATGGAGTCCGTGACTTGCTTGATTTCAGTAATGCCTCCTGTGGAAGGGTCCCTCCAGAATGTTCAGTACTGCCAAGGGCACGGTTGGTACCACACACGGATTGCTGGCAGCACTGTGCAGACAGTCATCATGCCTGACATTTTTTCAGGTTCAGAAAACCCAACTGGGAAGTAAGTGAAAGGTGCTACCAGCCCAAAGTTACTGCTGGGATTGTCCCACTCGAATTAACCAGTGTACAACCAAGACCAGTCTCTTCCATTCTGACCAGTAAGAAATAAGTTAGGTAGCACAGAGCATCTGAACCACCTGCTCAAAGGTGGAGCTGTTCTGCCTATGTTTCGTCTCAAAAATTATCTTCAGTCCAGCTTAGTCATGGAGGAGTCCAGCCTTATCTGTGTAGTCCTTTCTAAGAACAGGAAGACCTTGGGGCAGGACACTTGGGGACTGTCAAATAAAGCTATGGGAAGCAAGTGGGAAATGCATGTTCTTGTTCAGTTGGCCAAGGCTCGTGGTGCATGGCCAGTCAGCAGTGAAATGAGCCAGGCACTGTGGCCATACCTGTCATCCCAGCCACTGAGGAGAATGGAAGTTCTAGGCAAAACATTTTGTTAAGACTAGACATGAGAGGGGAGCTGGATGTGATGGCTTGCTTACACACTTGCCAACCCAGCTCTGGTAGGAAGCTTGAAATAGGGTCTCACTTTTTGGCCTGGGCCATAATCGTTCTATCCCAAAACAAGCAAGGTAAAAAAAACAAAAAGGATTGGGGCCTTGGTCAGAAGTAGAGTACCTGCCTAGCTAGCACAAGGCCCTAGTCCAACCCCCCCAAAATGATGATTAAGGCAATGATCAAAATGTCCAATTTACAGCCCCAGTAATCTGGTAAACTATAGATATGGATATAGATATGGATATGTATGTGTATATATGTGTATATATATACACACACACACATGTATATATATACACACATATATACACACACATACATATATATAGTATATGTGTAATACACACACACACACACACATATATATACACACACACACACATACATATATATAGTATGGCAGTCTCCTCATGATAGGGTGTTCCAGGAAGTCCATCCCTGTCCTATGGCCTTGGAATGGGGGTCCAGCATAACTCCCCAGGATCCTTAAGCTGAGAGACTGTGCAGGAAATGCAGTGAATTGACTCATTGTGTGTACTCGTGCCTAGACCTTCATCCCCTGTGTGTGCGCTCACCTCCAGTGTTGGCTAAAGAATCAGCCTGAGTCAGAGCAAGCTTTGCTAGGAGTCTTGTGGTCAGGAATGGTTTCTGCAAAGCTATGGTATTTTGTTTGCTCAGACTACACTGCTCTGCTGGCCGACCCTCCGCCTGGCTGTCCTTTAGGTAAGTGTGTGTGTGTGTGTGTGTGTGTGTGTGTACACACATATATATATCCATATTCCAAAGCACACCATTTGCAGCTTGGAACCAGGATGCTTACAAACTCATCATCCCACAGTGCTCCCTGACCTGCACTCAATTTATAGAACCAACGAATCATTGAAGGCAGAAGAAATGTTGTCAGTGCCTTGCAAACCGTTCAGATTCCATACATTGAGAGATTTTAGTCCAAGAAGGAAATGGAGCAAAGTCCCTTTGCCCCCTCTTGCCTTCCATCCCTCTAGCATTAATTTTAAAAGAAAAACAGCAACAACAACTAGACACTGTTGTGTCTTCTCAAATACATATTTTCGGCACAAATTACAAGTCTGGGTCTGTGAACTCAGCCTGCATTTCAAAGGATCAGTTGTGTCAGCTGCCATGGCTGTCAATGTGCACAAGGATCTTGATTAAATTAGTGCACGTACTTGTGCTTGCCAGCAAGGAGGCTTATTGTGTAGTGGAGGGATGAGAAGCCAGACACATTTAAATCATTCTGAATTGCCTTCACAATGAACGATCTTGCTATGAAACAAATGCTAATTTGCTCACATTTTCAGCTTTGTTGCCTCAATAATTTGCTCTCTCACACACCCTGAGTAATTCAGGCAGGAGCTCTGCACGTGACAAGATGTGCAGTTGGGGACTGCCCTTGTCCACGTGGCTGCGCTAATGACCCATGTATGTGGTCTTTGGGCTGGGCTGTCACTTAGCATGGCATTGATATATGAAACATTTGCCTTTTCATTTTTAATAATTAAAAAGAAAGAATATGGGCACTATGTTCTTAAAACACCTCAATTATTCCTTAGAACCTAGTTTGGGTCTGGGGGATAATGTCTTGGTTATGGAAATGCCCCAGGGAGTAAGTGGCTCACACCTGTAATCCTAGCTGCACTTTAGGAGGCTGAGATCTGTAAAGACTGCATTTCCAGGCCAGCCCATACAGGAAAGTCTGTGAGAGTCTAATCTCCACTAAATTACCCAAAAAACCAGAAGTGGAGCTGTTGCTCAAGTGAGAGCACTAGCCTTGAGCAAAAAGCTCAGGGACAGTGCCCAGGCCCTGATTCAAGCTCCATGACAGACAAAAAAAAAAAAAAAAGCTTGGAAAATTAAAAAGTAAGCAGGCGCCGGTGGCTCACACCTGTAATCCTAGCTACTCAGGAGGCTGAGATCTGAGGATCGCAGTTCAAAGCCAGCCCGGGCAGGAAAGTCTGTGAGACTCTATCTCCAATAAAAACCACTAGAAAACCAGAAGTGGTGCTGTGGCTCAAGCGGTAGAGTGCTCACCTTGAGCTGAAGAGCTGAGGGATAGTGCCCAAGCCCAGAGTTTAAGCCCACAACTGACCAAAAAAAAAAAAAAAAAAGTAAAAAAGTAAAGCTGTACAAAAGAGGTGAATAGCCTTATTTATATTTCATCCTATGGGTATGTAGTATTCTCTTGATGGTCATCTAATGAGTTTTTAGTTACCAGTGACAAGATATCGAGCAAATATGACCTCCTTCAACAGGCTCACAAGATAGGTATTGATAGATATTACCACTGTTCATATGTCCCTGTTATGATCCACATTTTCTGACATAAAAACTGAAGCTCAAGAAAGGTTTGGTAACCTGGCTCGGGCAGCTAGAAAAGGATAAAGCTAAAGTTAGATGAATAGAAAAAAATTAACATTTTACCATTGTGCATTGCCAAACTAAATTGTCCCTGCAACAAACACTGCCCTCAATATACAATCATTAACCAGGGATCAAACACTGTCTAAATAATTTGGAT